TGTTGTAATGTATGTTTTTAATCTGTATCTTATATTTGTAAGCCGCCTTGATTGCTTAGGCAAAAGGCGCGATATAAGAAATTATTATTATTATTATTATTATTATTATTATTATTATTATTATTATTATTATTATTATTATTATACCTGGAAAGCTTGCAACAAGTATATTGTGCATTTTGGTTGGCCAATAAAGGCATCACTATTTGGTGGATTTTAGTTTGAATTCATAAAACTACAGTCCCCAGAGTTCCCTAGCATTGAGCCAGGGCAGTTAAAGCGATCTCAAACTGAAGTATCTCTGCAATGTGTTTTGGACCAAAGTTTCCATTTTCCCTGCTGCCTTCTTCCACTTTACACAACGATTGTAATTGAAGGAGCCTCACCAGCAGATGGCGCTCCAGCGCAATCCTTCATCACTAACAGTGTGTGGAAACCTTCGCCACTAACTTGGTTCGCTCTTAACTATAGAGTCGCCTCAAACGTTCTTGAAACCATAGAGCGGAGAGGCAAGACTGGGAGGAACCTTAAGCCTGGTCATCCTGGGACCATAGAGTCGTTCCTCAAAGTGACTGTTGTTGCACCTTCAAGCCGTCTCCGACTTAATGGCGGCTCTAGGCGAAACGATCTTTATCTTGGCAACTGTTTTCAGAGGGGGGTTGCCATTGCCATCCTCTGGGGCTGAGAGAGTGTGACTTGCCCAAGGTCACCCAGTGGGGGTTCCATAGAAAAGCGGGGATTCGAACCCTGGTCTCCAGTACAGTCATAGGCTACATCCACACTATAGAAATAATCCAGTTTGACACCACTTTAGCTGCCATGGCTCAGTGCTATGGAATTCTGGGAACTGGTTTTGTGAAACATTTAGCCTTCTCTGTCAGAAAGAACTCTGCTGCCACAATAAATTACAATTCCCAGGATTCCACAGCAATGAGGCATGGCAGTTAAAGGAGGGTGGCCAGACATCCTCCTTTCTCCAAGACCTGCCCTACATTTCTACCTCCTGTCCAGGAGGAATTCCAAAACGTCCTCCATTTTGAGCACAAATAAGAAGCATGGACTTAGATTTATAGGAGTGGTTTTTTTTAACTTTCATGTGGTAAATGTCTGACATTTTATTTCTTGTAAGGCCTCCATTTTGTGGTGCCTTGTTCTCCTTGGCAGTTAGGAGACCCTTTTGAATTAAATTCCATTAAGGAGGCCATCAGTATGAATCTGCAAGAACTAAGAACAGTAGTGAAGGACAGGGAGCCTTGGAGATGTCTCATCCACAGGGCAGCCATGAGTTGACAGCAACTTGAGGGTGTTTAGCAACACCAAACAAAGACATTGCCATGTTAGTCTGTAGAATCGGTATGCAGAGAGAGATCTTGTAGTGCTTTTAAGACTAAGGTCCCAAACACACTGCAGAAATAATCCAGTTTGAGAATGCTTTAACTGTCCTGCCTCGGTGCTAGGGAACCCTGGGAATTGTAGTTTAGTGTGGCACCAGAGCTCTCTGACAGAGAAGGCTCAATGCTTCACAAAACGACAGTTTCCAGAATTCCCTAGCATTGAGCCAGGGCAGTTAAAGCGGTCTCAAGCTGGATTATTTCTGCAGTGTGTTTTGGACCATAACTGAAAAAAGAAGTTGGCCGTATGAGCCTTTGTAGACCTAAGTCTACTTCTTACTTCCATTTCAAATGCATCTGAGGAAGTAGATTTAAGTCTAGGAAAGCTCATGCTGTCAACTTCTTTATTTCAGTTACCATATTGCCGCACCAGACTCTTACAGTGCTGTGATTCTGCTTTTGTGGCTCTGGCTGCCTCCTGTTGTATTCTGGAGTTTGTAGTTCAATGAAGGCTAAGAGCTCTCTGGCTGAGAAGTCTAAATGCCCCTCCTTAAACTGTAAATCCCGGAATGCAACAGGAGGTAACCAGAGCAGGTAAAATAGAATAGCAATGCTATAAGAATGTAATACAGTAATTTTGTTGTTTGTTGTTAACTGCCTTTGCATTGATCTCGACCCACGGCGACCCTAGGGATGAGACAACTCCAGGGCCCCCCTGTCCTCTACTGCTCTGCCCAGTTCCTGCAAACTCATTTTCGTGGTCTCTTTAATTAATAAAGTCCATCCATCTAGCATGTGGCCGGCCGCCTTCTCTTTCTACTTCCCTCCACCTTTCCTAACATTATATTCTTTTCGGAGTGATTCATGCCTTCTCATGATGTGTCCAAAGTATGAGAGTCTAAGGACGTCATCACACGGGGGCAAATCTGATGGTTAATCCACACAAATCCCAAACAG